CCGAAAGCATTCCAGTCGGCAAATTTAAATTTTCGCTAGTGCTGTGGCGCTGCAATCTTTGGCTATGTTTTGGCTACTCAAATATTTTACGTTTTTGATACTAAATTAACTTCTGAAGTATAATTTTTTATTGTTTTTATATTTTTCAATATATTTATTTTGTTTATACAAAATAAAAAAATAATTTTTAACGATACAATAGTCTTTGTTAGGCTTAACATCGACGAAAATTGAACGCAAAGCAACACGCAACGGAGGAAAATGTCAAGATGGGATAAATTAATATATTTTTTCGTACATAATCGGTTATCCGAAACATCGATCTTCCGAACAACCCCAGTCCCCAATTGATTCGGATAATCGACGCTCTACTGTACTCATAAAAGATTAGTGTGTTTTATTTTTAGATTTTAGTTGTAGATTTCCTATCTTTTTCAGTTTACTTAATAAGTAAAACCAAGATACAAGATATGAAATTTAAAGAAAAAAGAAATGTGAAAACTACTTTTTAGTTTAATAAATTTTTTTTATAAGCTGTTTACTGTTGTAATTAAAAATTATGGACAAAACTATGTTAACTTTATTTTATTTTTCTTAAATAGATGCATTATGCAGTAATCTTAATTTCATTGTATAATTACTGTATTCACTTTAATTTCAAAACACTTTTTTTCAATTTCTCAGTTAAATTCAAGTTTTTATTAAGTACAAAATATTCTTGGATAAGAAAGTTAATTGCACCTCACACCAAATTCATATTTTTATTTATATATACTGTAATTCTTGGGATTTCTACAAAACAAAGGGATTCTTATTTCCACATCTCAATGATATTTCAGACTCGAATAGAGTTGGATTACCTCTTTAGACTCAGACAAGATATTTATGTTTGGAGATATCTCACTTCACTGGCTCCTGAATTGCTTTCTCTCAACCCATAATGTAATTGCAACCATGTAACTTGAACTTCTTTAGAAACTTGAAATAAAACCAGTGTAATTAAATTTAAGCTTTAATAGGAAAGAAGGTTGGTTTCCTATTCTCTTCATTTAATGCTCACTCTTTTCATGTGCTTAGGAGCATTTAATGCTTCTATGCCTATGGAAAGTGAAATTATCACTTAAATAAATTCATTCATTGTTGAGAATGACAATGACATTATCCTGATACAATCAAATGAGCTGTCTCAACTTGGTACAGGAACTCCATAAAATGGTAGTCATACCAATAAAAGTAGGACAAAAGAATTGAGTTGAAAGCTTAGGTGTTTTTGTGTATCACTACACCAAAATCTGCTACTGGAAGATAATATGATCTTGCTGGTCAGGTATGATCTCCACGAATGTTAAATCTATCTGCTTGGAAAGGACTAATCTAGAAACTGTCATATAGGCTGAGAGAAATGTGATGTGCACTCAGAAGGATATTTTTGAAGACTGCATACTGACCAGTTGGTTGTTGATCATCATTATATAGTTGCATAACAATAAATCATGCAACTGTTAACTTCAGAATAGGTTTTTTTACCTTATGATCTTTACCTTACCTTATCTATACCTTTACCTAATCTCAGAACACACTATATATTTAATGAACACATCAGTGTATTAGTTTCCTTAATTAACAAAATCTAGCAATAGTTTAAAAAATGATTGTAGTTACAAATTTTATTTTCTAGTAAGTGATTCTTCTGGACTGATTCCTTACATTCATGTGATATTTGGTAAAGTGAAAAAGTCATTTGCTTACCAATTTAAACTTGCAAAAATTGATAAGAAAACTATAAAAATAATGTATTTTAACTTATTATAGTACTTAGTTTAAGAAGGTTGTCAGATTTCTTATGTTTTTAAGAATATTTTAATAACAAATTGTCTTCATGTTGAAAACTCCAAATAATTAGGTATTTATAATTCATATTTACTGTGATGAAAATTATATAATATTTGTTCTTTTTCAGAAGTGAAATAAATGAAGATATTGCAGTCAGAAGATAAGTCTGTTAAAAATGTAAAGTGTTAAGAAAATAAATAAATTATAAATGTATATTGTATTCATTTATAAATACTAACTTACAGTTGTGAATTCAATATATATTTCATATAAACAATGAAATAAATTTTTACAGAAATTTTTATACTCAAATAAATTAATGTGTTAATGGATTTATATCAAACATTTGTTTTAAATTTCCTATTAACTAATTAAAAATAAGATCAATTCACATTTTTGTTTCATATTTATTCAATTAAATGTTTTTAGTAGTAGTAATAACCTCCATTCTCGCAAGACTACAATACAATCAAATAGGTATGCTTACATTAACTAAGAAGAGCTTAACAGGTAAGTCTATAACATTTACTGCAGTGGTTCCCAAACTTTTTTGATTCTCGGCACACTTGCTAAATCCAGAGTTTTTCCAAGATGCCCTATGTCAAATTCTAACAAGTATGTACAATTTGTGAAATAGCCAATATTTTTTAAATTAAAGTTAGGACATTAAGTAAAAAATATAATGTATTTAAGATAGCAAAAAAATTTAATTGAATAAATTTAATTAATTATAATTAGTGAGATGGATGAGCCTGTTGATCACTGCACATTTTCTCAAATCTTGGAATCAAACTAGACACAGCCACTCTCATTTCCTTCTCCACATTGATTCTCATGCAATGCTTAATTTTTATCAGAGCAACAAACTCAGCTTTGCACAAATGGAATTAAGATTCTCTGAGCTTTACCACTCAGAAGGGATATTCATCTTTTACTGATATCCAAAATTCAGTTAATTCCATGCTACTAAATTTTGTTTTCAACATATTGTCGCAAGACAACTCAATAAGATTCTCTTCTTCTGCAGCAGTAAATTCAGATGGAGCACTGGCATTAAATGGATCTTGAATCCATGCAAATTTATCAATATTATCATTTTTAAAATATTTTTCAAACCAGGTGATAAATGTTCTTCAAAAATAGATTTCATACTTAGAGAGAAATTAACTCCATTGGAGGTCAAAAACTGTTGCGACAAGGAAAAACAATCTTTTCCCCTGTTTTCATTTATTTTTCTTTTCCGTAGTTTTAATTTTTTTGTAAAAGCTGGAATTTTCTCAATCAACTTGTATGCTAGTTTTACCAAAAAATCTTCATTTGCACAATTTTCAGCATACTTGTGGTCTTCTTCTTTAAGAAAAATATAAATTTCCTGTCACATTTCAAACATACAAGACAAAAACATTACCTTGAGAGAGACATTGCACTCTCATAGTTATGTTTTGTGCTGTAGTGTTGTACAACAAAGATGTGTGCTCAGATCCTTGCCTGATCTTTTGAGAAATCTTACCTTCAACAGCTGAGTTTTTATAAAGTTTACTACATTTACTACATATTCTAAGGCCTGGTTTTATGTAGGACTCAGATATTTGATGCGAGTGCTTCCTGTGAATAATGCAATGGGTTCACAGTGCATCAGGGTCTTTGCTTTGAAAAAGTTCTTGCAATCTTCCATAACACCCGGACATTGAATGACACCATCAGTACCAATACCAATGTATTTGGTCCACTCCAAATTATTTTCAGATATAAAAATATCAAAAACCTCAAACAAGTTGTGAGTCTTTGCACCAGCAGTGATGCTTTTACAAAAGAGAGTCTTCTACAATGTTATTACTATCTATAAACTGTATATAGCAAATCAAGCAAGCATCATTGTCATCATCTGTCCTCATGCAGCTGCAACCCAAATTCCTTCCCTTTTATTTTTTCAATTAACTGAACATTGGAGGTTTTCACTATGTGCTGTATTCTGTGAATTATTAGACAAAGGTACTTTTAAAAGCTGCTTCCCAGCAGACTCACTGATCATAATGTTCACCACATCTACAGCAGCTGGTAGAATGAGTTTTTCTGCGATGGTAGAGGTTTTTTACATTTTGTGATTCTATTTGCCACCTTTATTACTGATTTAAAGATTGCACCAGGTCTGCTAGATGTCGCATTGTATCTCATTGAATTGAAAGTGGAAGTAAAATTATGAAAATTTTATATTACTTCATGGTGCCTGTGTGAGGAAGCAATGGCTCCCTAGGGTGCTGCAGCACACACTTTGGGAACCACTGATTTATTGTAATAGAATGCTATCAAACTTCATACAATAACTTCCACATCAGTTATTCTTACACAAATTGATAATTAATGATGAAATAAAACAGAAATTTTAAATATTTTTATTTGTTGCTTTGAAGAAAATAAAATTTTCTTCAAAGCACAAATATATATATACTGTACATGAACCATATACACTCCTCAAAAGTGAAATTGCAATACCATGGAGGAATGCACATATCTATATGCAAATTGCAGAACCAGTAGAGGTGACAGATATGCAAATGATTAAAGATATTCAACAAACACCTATTTATTCATTAATGAATAATGCCCGCAATATGCAGATATATTGCATGGAATTCTATCAATGAGGTAATTAATGGTTGCCTGAGATATTCCTTGCCAAATTGTGTCCACATCATCTACAATATGTGGTGATGGTCCCTGGTACACTTCACATTGGACGAGATCCCACGGGTGTTTCATGGGCGAGAGTTCCGGAGCTGTCGGTCAGGGAAGGTCTCATAAGGAACTCCTTCCCTGCCCCACCTATTGGCACCACAGGGTTAAAGAGACTATGCCTTATTCATCGACTGGTCGGTACCTGACGCGGTAGACAGGACGACGTAGCTGGGCCCTATGATCTTCATTCGGGCTCCCGTCCGCACCCCGGCCCAGCCCTCTAACTTGGCATAACTTTTGTTTTGTGCAGCCTGTACTGCACTTATGGTCCACACTACTAAACCTTATCCAGCTCACACTTGTACTAAATGCTTAGACTTATACCTATGTAGTAGGTATTCAGACAGCGGGGCCCCTGTTCCTACGAGAGGGGACCCAAACTAGCTCTTTCCAAACCTATAGATCGAAGAGATCTATGATTTTTCCCATCAATTCCTTTAGTTTCTTTAGGTTCCCTTTACTAGCTGCTAGCATTCGAAGTACTTGTTCAGGGGGCTTGGACCAGTCAACTTGGTCTGCCCCTAGGCGGAAGTCCCTTGTTAGGGGACAGTCAAGTACGTAATGCCTCGCATCGCCGCGAGGACTACCACAGGGGCAGCTACCATCTCCTTGTCCGAACTTGGACTTGAAGTGGGGGAACCTCCCGTGGCAGTCAGGGAAGGATGTGAATTCCATTTAGACTGGTGAGAGTTTGCCATACAGCATGCAGTTGGGCATCATCTTGCTGGAACACCATGTTAGGTGCAGTCTGCACCAGTAGCCAAATCACAGGCCCCACAATTTGTGTGATGTACTGGTCTGCTGTCAGAGTACTGGAAATGTGCACCAGATACAGATACAGATATTTTATTGATCAGATACCAACAGGTACATGCCCGGCACCGTAAAAAACATAACCGGATAAAGCGTGACATTACTGAGAAAGTGAGTACTGGTCGAACAGTTTGAGTGTACACGCGTACATTTACAGGAATACAGTAGTATAAAATTATACAGGAGTACAAAAGAAAGTTATACATGGAATACAAAATAAACACTATACAGGAATTACTTATATTATATGAAAATACAATAATTGCCACATTGTACAGGAGTTTAGGAGTACAAATAGAGTTCAGTAGACGGAATACATAAATGATATTACATTTTGCAGAGATATTTTAATATAAGCATAATACTAGAGTACAGATAATATATACATTAATAATTACATAGCCAGGGTTGAACACTTAAAGTATTTGACAATAAGCGTGTTGAAAGCCTCATAGGTGTCCTTGTGTTTGAAGATCTCGTAGCAGTCATTAGGCCAGGACTTGCCGTGGGCCTCTAGAAAGATTTTGAGGTGTAGCCTCTCCAGCTCTAGGGCAGGACACTCGAAGAGGTAGTGTGAAGAACTGTCCACGACTCCGCATAATGAACAGTTAGGGTTAGGGGTGTTGTGGAACCTCGCCAGATAAGAGTGAAATCCTCCGTGGTTGGTGAGGAATTGGCTCATGCGTTGATTAGGGCAGTACCACTTGCTGTTAATGAAATTTCTGATGGCTGGAATAAGTCTATGTGTGGTGGGATGCCTCCTCTCATCCCAGTCCCGTTGCCAGGAGGTGAGTAGATGGTCCTTCAGGATGAGTTTGATGGAGTGGATGCTAAGTTTGTTGTAGGCCACAGGGAGGTCGTGGTCAGAGCTGGCGGACTTGGCAAGGGCATCCGCCCTCTCGTTGCCGAGCGTTCCCTGGTGGGCTCTGGTCCAACGGATGTAGTAGGAGTTATTGGAGGCAGAAATATTGTTCTGGATGTCATAGGCAATGGGATGGTGCGAGTGATTCTGGAGAAGTGTAATGGAAGATAAGCTGTCTGAAATGATCGCCACGGTGGAGTTGGAGTAGTTGGCAGAGGACCAGGCCACTGCTCTACTGATGGCAAACAGCTCTGCTTGAAGAATGATGCAATGGGCACTGAGCCTATGGCGTTCGGAGGCTATTTCCGTGTTGTTGTGGTATGCGACTAAGCCACACCCGACGTTGAGGTCAGCTTTCGAGCCGTCGGTGTAAATCTCCAAGTCGGCGTGGTTAGGTTGATAGAAGTTAATCGTGATGGGGAGAGCGGGGTGCCTGGAGCTGGCAAGAGGGATGCTGCTCTCGAGGTCCCTGCTGTTGATAATGAGGTCGTCCATATTAATGTTGTGCTCACGCTTGAGATGCCAGAGACTGGCGGAGGACATGATGTACTTGTCTATTGGAGGCTTCCTTGCAAGGATCTGTAGAGACAAATTGGGGGTGGTAGAGTAGGCTCTGGTGATATAAATGAGGGCTCTCCTTTGTGCGGCGATTAATTTACGGTGTATGTGGACCTTGGGCACTGCCCTACTCCAGCTGCCGCAGGTGTAAGTAATAATAGGGGTAAAAATCTGGCGGTAGATGGTGTCCATAGCCTCAGAAGCCAGCCCCCAGTGCTTCCTTGCAATACTTGCAAAGGCGGTGAAGATTTTACCAGTTCTGTCAGTAATGTAGTCGATGTGAGGGTTCCAAAGGAGCCTGTAGTCCAGGATGACGCCCAGGTATTTAATGGATTTTTAACAGCAATGGACTGACCGCCCATTTTAAGGGTGGGCACCCTGAGATAGAGGTTGGGTTGACCGGGATTGTTAAAAACGATGGCTTTGGTTTTTTTCGCGTTAAAATGTAGCTTGTTATCGTTTCCCTAGTTTAGGATGTTATATAGAATGTTTTTGCCTTGATCCTCAAGTGCCGTGCGTGAGCGGCCCCCCAAAAGCACAAGGGCATCATCGGCGTAGGCCGTGATATGATGATGTCCAAAATCCTGAGATAGGAAGCTGTTAAAGGCAATGTTCCAGAGGACCGGGCCACAGACAGCCTTGAGGGCATCCGCGGACCACGTTACGGTGGGCGGTGTAATTGCCGCACTGTAGTGTTGCTGTTCTGTGGTGGAGGTAATCACTCAGAGTGTAATAAATACTGGCCGGGCAGTTGAAGTCTCTCAGGCCCTGAAGGATCCCAGGCCACCAAGCAGAGTCGAAGGCCTTGGCAATGTCTAAACTTATCGCTAGGACATACTTATAGCTCTCAAGCAGATTATTGACCTTGCTAACAACGTCCTTGATAGCGTCCTCTGAGGACTTTTGAGGCCGGAAGCCGAATTGGGAAGCATGCAGTAGGGAGTTGGTCTCGAGGTGCCAGATAAGTCTGTTGTTAAGCAGGCGCTCTAGGACCTTCCCCAAAACCGGAAGGAGGGAGATGGGCCTGCTCTCTTCTGAGTTGCCAGGCTTTGGAACAGGAATAATTCTGGCATGCTTCCAGGCTTCCGGAAAGACTCCGTACTTTAGACAGGCGTTGTAGAGTTGTGATAGCTGTTGTGGGATAATTCTCCAAATATTCTTAGCCAGCTCGGGGGTGATGTCGTCGTGACCCGGGGCCTTGCGGTTGCGGAGATTGTCAAAGGCCGCCTTGATTTCACGAAGGTGAAAGGGAGGTGAGTTATGGGTGTGAATATCAGTTTGAGCATTGCTACGGATCCTATGTTGAGTGTCGGTGTCGAGATCGTCTGGGTCCGGGAGGCAGTAGTCATCGATCTTTCTGTTAACCGCCTGAAAAAAGGTTTCGCCTGCAGAGGTAGAGTGAAGAATCTGGGATTTTTTGAGTTTGCCGGTGCATAGTCTAGTTATAAAACCCCATGGGTTTTTAGCTGCTTCAGCACAATAATTATCCCAGGACTCTTGTTTTGCCTTTTTTATCTCACTCTTGTAAATATTCAGGTGATGGTAGTAACGTTGTTTAAGGGTGTTACGAGTGGGTTGTGCTCGACTGTTCTGGTACTCCTTTCTTAGACGGATGTTAGTCTTTCTGAGGTTCGTTAATTCTGGGGTCCACCATGGGACAGATTTTCTTTTGTTGACGTACTTTGGGATGAACGTATTGCAGGCAGTGTTTATGATGTTGATGTTCTGGTCGATGCGGCGACGGGCCTCGGTGTAGTTGTCGCAGTTGTAGTCGACCAGATTAGATTCGAGAAAGTTCTGTAGCTCAGTCCAGTTGACACGTTTAATATTGTATTTTGGCCAAGGGTGTGTTGTGTCTTCAAAACTGACCCCAAGAGTAAAGGAGATAAAGGCATGGTTGTCAATGTTATCCTCAAGGATCCTCCAGTTGTGGATGGAGGGGTAACAGCCCATTGAACAGGCTGTCACATCGATCCAACTGTAGCCTTGTGTGGAAGTGAAGGTGGGCGGAGAAGAGGGGTCGTTAATAACAAGCATGCCATTGCGAGCGATGAAATCTTCGAGGGTTCTGCCTCGGTTGTCCAGACGGTCGCCCCCCCAGGTTGGGGAGTGGGCGTTTGTATCACCAGAGAGGATGAGATAGGCGCCCGGGAAATGATTGATGATATGCTGTATGTTTTCGAGGATCTGGTCGATACTCAAGTCCTTTGGGCAGTAATAATTTATCATGTTGTATCTGTGATGACTGGTGGCGAACTCAGTACAACAGATGTACTCAGTACTTAGGGCTTTATGATGGAGGATGGGAAACGTGCACCAGGGCTGTCTACTGATTGAACATGATGGCCAGTGTGACACTTGGCTAAAAGGACTGGGACAGTTTTTCTCGGGATACCATCATGGCCATCCAAAGATATGTGCAATTTTGTCGTGGTGACGACAATTTCAGCCTTGTCAAACTCCGCTTTGATGTCCAGACCCACCAGGACCATCTTAAATGGCTAGAAGCCATAGCCATTTACAAAGCTGGCCAAGAGACCACCTATGTCAACTAGGAGGAACTTAGTTTGTTGCTAGCCTGGCAGGCCCTCATAGATGCCGATCTGTAATTGTATCTATCAGCATGTGATTGCGCATGCCCGGCAAAACGGATTTTGTCGAAATGACATTCAGTTTTGTTTTAAATCTTTACATTCCATTCTGAAGCATTCCAAACCTATTTGATCTGAAGAACTTTGCGATAGTTCGAAAACGTTTGTCACCCACTGTATTTTTTATACATAATGCACTGATAACAGGTTACAGAAGTAAGAATACCCAATGCCATTCAGTGATCCCAGTTGCAATGATGATGACACCACACCAGGTTTGCAGCCATGTCAAGCAGCCCAACTTCATGCAACCTATTGCAAATGTTTTGGTTGGACACAGATGCACCCATTGACTGCAACAGGCAGCATTGGATGTTGTGTGTTGTGGCAAACAGGTCATTCAGCAAATCAGCCAGTCTGTGTGCACTGGTGCAATCCACTCTCTCTTCAGCATGTTCACAGATGTTCCTGCATCCATCATATCACATATTGCTGGATGGTACAGTACATTGTGTCCAGTGCATGTGATAAATGCATGCATTGACAAACCAAGGTCACAAAGGTCCAGGATACGGTTTTATTCCCCAACTGATGGTATTCAGCTTGCTGTTGTCTCCAAGACATTGTCTATGCTTCTCTAAAAGATTGACTACCACAAACTGTTACTGGTAACATTTATGGCCCAAGCTGGCTGCTGGTCTTTATAGCCAAAAACTGAGTACATGACCCAATGCATAAGCAAACTTGATCATTTGCATATCTCTCACTTCTACAGGTCCTGCAATTTGCATGTGGCTAGGCACATTCCTTCATGATGTTGCAATGTCAGTTTTGGAAGTGTATTTTATTGAAAAAACACTAAAAATTAAATTGGTATGTAAAATTAGAACATCAAATCAGGCAGTAGCAGTTTATTATTTTCCCAGCTGTTAGGTACTCATAACAAGGGAAAGTATTGGAATTGTGTCAATTTGACCTTCAAAGTTTTTTTTTGCATATCCATGTTTTCAGACCACCTAAACCCAAAGTAAAAAAATTCCGTAGACGTGTATTGGCATCCATTTTGTTTAATATCTCAGGATGGGGTAAAGATTAGAAAAGAAAATTTGGCATGATAACTTTTATGTAAGGAGAATTGACACTATTAAATTTTGGTGATTAAGTCAAACAGGGGGTTGGACTTAATAAAGATTTTACTCATTATTAGCATTTATAATTTGTTTTATAAAACTCATCACTACCCTCACAGTTAAACTTTATTTTATAATAGTATAAAAAGTTTATAACAAAATCTGATAACAGATGGTGCTACACACAATTGTATTTATTATTATTTAAAAAATAGCTTTTATAATTAAAATCTCAGCAGCCAGGAAAGTTATGTAACTCATTGCCAGATTTTATTACTACACTGAAGAAAATTTAGTGTTCCAAAAATAATTGGTTTGACTCTGAGGTCAAAAACTACCAGGTCTGGGCATTTGGGTATTTGAATGGATAATTTGTATGATATGTAATTTTTATTTTTAATCTTTAATAAAGAATTGTAATACATTGAAGTTGTATTGTAAAAATGTCAGTTTGCTCATGTGAGACCTAGAATAGTTCAATTCAAATTTTCTAACAAAAATATTTAAAATTGTTAGATTTTAAAAACAACCTCTCCCACAACTCCTGGGAAGATAAATCAACACAAAAAATCTTTTGAATATCCCAGTATGAACAATACTGATCCTGAAATACAAGCCGATCTCCATAAGGCCAAATTGTTAAAAATGTATGATCAAGTTTTTGCAACCTGGAAGCATTAGAAATATCAGGGCTATGGAGTCATGTACAAATCTACCGACTCCAACTCTTCCTTACCATCCGACTCCGGCTAAAACACCAAAACTCCACGACTCCAACTCCACAGCCCTGAGAAATATACAAAGCAGGCCCGTCTGGCAACTGCATTAATGCAAAGGATGTCACTAGTATTTCATATGCATGGAGGTGGTGCTATGAAGAAAAGTAACGGGAATAACACTAGCTAGTAGATAACGTTTCTACACCAGTATTTGCATCTTATTATTTGTGTGTGTGGATGTAAAGATATTTTTATCACTTTATTAACATGTACGGTAAAAAACGTTTTCCAAGATTTAAATATTTTGGAATTTAAAAATAATTTATAAACACTGTGTTCAAATTTATACTGGCCATTAGCCTGATGAAGACCAAGTTTATGGTCGAAAATGTTCATTTTGTTTAAATTCCCAAATTAAAAAAAGGAGGCAAAATAGGATTTTAGGACTACTAAATCATCATCAATAAATGAAATCTGGAATGTGTTCATCATGATTAATACTCATGCATATCATTTTTCTACAGTGTTGCTTATTCTACTGCATAGTAGAATTATCAGTTTAGGTAGATAAATTAAATTCACTGTTAATAAAAAAAATATATACTTTTGCTTGGAAATCTACGTATAAATTCACTGTTAATAAAAAAACTATATACTTTTGCTTGGAAATCTACATATATTTTTGTTATAATGAATTCTTTGTTAATACAAGTTAATAAAAAATAAAGCCAATTTAAACTACTTTTCTCAGAGCAAAAACCTCTTACAAACTAGCATTTTTGTGCTAAGTATTGAGAGACAAAATCAGAGTATCCTTGTAGCTCATTTATTTATCTTACTACAGAGTGCTGTTAATTAATAGAGATCTTATATCGTTTTCACAATCTTTATTGCTCCTAATACCCTCTGATGGGTACAGAGACCAAAAGTACTAGTTTTCTAAAACATTATAGTAATAAAAGTATGTAATAAACATGTAGAACTCAACTGTGAATACATTATATTAAATAAAATCATCATCTCTTAAGAGCTTTAGGGAATTTATTCTAAACTTCTGCAGCATCTATATTAAAAATTAATTCTGAATGCATTACACAAAATACATAAAAGAATATTGCATATTTGATACAATTGCTCAATATAATTTTTGTAAAATGTATCTCTACATTGCTGTTTTACATATTACATTTCATAA